TTCATATGGGTAGTTCACTGACCTTAGTAAGGGCATTTACACTTTGTTAAGAGAAGTTAAGGTCGGGATAATTTTTGGATAAGTTATAAAAGTTGATTTCATTATTATGAGGTCTGATCCAAATGACTTTACAGTGAATATTAGCTAGACCTGATATTGTCGTTTTGGAAGATGATGCCATTACTCCACCAGAGTTGCCCATTATCAACACTAAGAGGGGGTTACAGAATGCTAGAGACTGAAAACAAATTTAGGAGAATTACATCTCAATGTCAGGAGATCTTGAGACAAGAAGATATACTGCTATATTGGAAATAGTCGAGATTGGCTCTTTGGGTAATTTCTGATTTCTCGTCGAGCTCAGTCAACTCAACAATATCTGAGCCACCTAAGTTGTCATTCTCTACATAGCTGGCTTGATATTATCATTATCAAAGGTAACTCTCAGGTTATTTTCAACTGTTGGAATAAAACTGAGTGGAGCTCCCCCCCTTTGCTCTGATTTTAAACTTTCTCTAACTACCTATTAGTTATTATTTCTCCTTAGCTGGAATTTTATTATTGAGTTGACTTGTAAACTGTGCTAAAATTACTTCTACTCTTATTGATTATTATGTACGTATGTTTAAATCATTCTATCTGTCTGTCAAATTTTGATAGCGTATTTCAATTTTCAAAATAATTCAGCTTGAACATCTGCCCCTGTTCCTGTCAAGGCTGTAGACATAGATTTTTAATGTCCATGTATTAATCCTTTGGTTTGCAGTCATCCAGCTGTGATGTCAATGTAATATAACTGACTGTGTGTATTACAACATAAAAAAGTGAGCTAATGAAAACAAGCTATAATAGATACAGTAGCTTCAGTTGTATGGCAACACTGAATCATTGAAAGCAATAGATATTATGTGAAAACATTATTTTTAAATGACTTAAACATACACTCATTAACTAACAGTAGCTGTTTCATTGACTAAACTAATAATTATAATTATATGCTTTATTATTTATATGACATTGTGCGGTTAATGTGAATTTGCCATAAAAGTATCATGGTTTACATATGTTTACTTGCTTATACTCCCAAAACCAAAAAGAAAACAGAAGTAGGAAACTCTTGCTATTATGCTCTACTGAATTACATTCAAATAACAAATGTTCAGTCTTAATGTAGAATCATTACTTAAGTATACAAACACTTCCTAGCAATAGCTGTAATACATTGTTCTATTATGATGAAAAGTTTCTTGCCTAATGTGTTTATCTTTTTGTTTTGTATAACCTACTATACATTACTACACAATTTGTATATTTATTTTCATTTATGCAGGATTTACCTTATTTAATGGTAAGTAAAATTGAAGAGAACCAAAAGACTCACATCAGCTTATAGACAAGATGGCAGTGTCAGTACTAGTGGTTGTATTCTTGTTGAGTGTCAGTAAAGTTATTAGTCAATGTCCACCTTCCTCAGGTAAGACACTATAGATGTGTATAATAAGAACTGTATTGGTTTTTATAGGTATCTACCTGATGCATGATGAAAACTGTTATACTAATGGATCATACTTTTTAGATAATGACATTAAAGGATACAGTAACAGTATCCAGTGTGTATTAGCTGGTACTACTCTGAATGGTGGAGAGTGGGTTACTAATAATGGATCATCAATTGACTGTAGCACTGATCCTCTTCGTTGTAATGTCATGTCTTCACCTGATACAACTGTTGGCCTTTATATTAATGGAGACATTGAACTATTTGATGATGGCTGGTACAAATGTTGTCTACCAACTGATTGTTCAGATTCAAACACTAACATAATCTTTGCTAATATATATAGTAAGCTATTCATTGTGCATATAAGACTAATTGTGTACTGTATTATATTGCTGTAGTATTGGCACAGATTGAAGATATCAGTGTTGACCTTCCTTCAGATGTAACAGTTCTTCCTCAAACATACACACTACGTGCTGTTAAAATTGGCCAATATGATATTGATACTGCTGATTGGTACTATGAGACAGCTAGAACTATTGAACTTTGCAGTGTGAATAGATACCAATACAATTGCACTAATGATAATGGAATTGCAATAGATAAAGGTAATGGAAAATGGGAATATACTCTGATTGCCACTTGGGATGGAGATAGTACTATCAATAGTGGAATACTTAGTCTATCAAGGAACTATGCAGATCATGAGTATAGATTTTATTTAAATGCCAGTGAAGTGATGAGAAATCGCTCAATTACAATCACAGGTAATTAGAATAATATAACATAATTTTATGGCACTCTGTATATAGTTCCATCAACTGCTCCCTCTTCTCTTACTGAGGTCAACAAGACAGCTACCACTATCACTGTCAATTGGACTGCACTTGATTCATTTGATGCTGATGGATATGTAGTCAATGTCACTAGTGACACAGCCGTTGTGCAGACAGTACAGGTGGAGGGAAGTAATAATAATACAATCACACTGAATGGACTGAGAGGAGGAACAACTTATAGCATCACAGTCAGAGCCTATCAACAATTACTGGGACCTGCTAGTAGTACAATCAGTGTATTCACTCATTGTCAATGTGAAGGTATTTTAACATAAAATATTGTTATAAATGTAATACGGTATTGATTTTTAGGAATCTATTTAAAATATAATCAAAATTGTTATCCTAATGGATCATATTTTTGGGATAGCAGAGTCAATACAGCTAATAAAGCTATATCATGTGTGTTACCTGGTACAAGTCTAACTACTGGTCAGTGGGTTAGAGTTGCTGAACCTGATGATCCTGTTGACTGTAACAGCAATAGTGCCAGTGATCCTTTTCGTTGTACTTCTGTCATTTCACCTGATGCTACTCTCAATCTTTACCTTGCTCAGGGACTATCAGCATCTCAAGAAGGCTGGTACAAGTGTTGTCTACCCACTGATTGTTCAGATCCTAACACTAACATCATCTTTGCTAATATATTCAGTAAGAGGAGTCTGTAATCACTTATTGATTTAATGATTTTCCTTTGTAGATTTTGCACAGATAAAATCATTTACTATAACTGACCTTCCTTCTGATATGACAATATATCCTCAGGAATACAAACTGAATTGTGTTAAAATTGGATTTCCTGTGTATGATATTAGTGTAAACATTGATAATACTGCACTGGCTAGTTACACTAATTGTGACGATAATAGTAACCCTTGTTCTGGTATTGAATTAGTTGATAGTACCAACGCAATAAGATATACTTTTAATATCACATGGGATGGAGTGACTGTCAGCAGTGGATCAATTAGTCAATCAACCACTGGAGATCAAATGTATCAGTGTGTAGTGCAAGTTTCACATCAACCAACTAGATCACGTAGTGTAACTGTAAAAGGTAAGGTTTATGCTTACTGTTACCAATACTATCTCTCTATATTAGTTCCATCAACTGCTCCCTCTTCTCTTACTGAGGTCAACAAGACAGCTACCACTATCACTGTCAGTTGGACTGCACTTGATTCATCTGATGCTGATGGATATGTAGTCAATGTCACTAGTGACACAGACACTGTGCAGACAGTACAGGTGGAGGGAAGTAGTAATAATACAATCACACTGAATGGACTGAGAGGAGGAACAACTTATAGCATCACAGTCAGAGCCTATCAACAATTACTGGGACCTGCTAATACACTCAGCATACAGACCTTACCAGGTATTGCTATTAGAACCGTTTTAATGTACTTGTAACATTGCCCATGTATTTCTAGTTATTATTTCAATCAATTGGATACTAGTCTCATCCATCACACAACTCAGTAACACTCAGTATCATATTCAATGTCTCTCAACTACTGATATAAATCCTTCAACTGATGTTTACTGGTTAGTGAATGGAGTGATGAAGAATAACTCAATGTATACATCAATCGATGTCCTGACATACAACAACACACTACTGGTATATCCTGATCCACTGGGAGTTTCAGTTAATGTTACCTGTATAGCAATGATTGGAGGAGTCAACTACAGTCAATTTGTCACATTACAAGGTATGTTTATACTTAAATCAATATGAAAACTTCATCTCTTTTATTATAGTTCCTGGTGGTCCTCCAAATAATGTTAGAGTGTTTATTTTGGAAGCTACTGGTATCAAAGCAAACTGGACCAATTCATCAGTGACTAATGGATATGTGATTGAATATACTACTGGAAGTGTAACCAGGAATGTAGTATGTACCAGTGAAGATGAAATTGTACTAACAGATCTCTTACCAATGAGTACCTATACCATCTGTGTGTACTCATATATAGATCTTCCTTCAGTTAATAGTACAGCAACAGTGTTAAGATTTGATGGTGAGTTATTATCATTGAGAGAGTGTAACTGGTATCTGTTCTAGTTCCTAGTCCGGTAACTAGTCTCTCAGTATCTAATGTCTCAACCACTGGTATTACAGTGAACTGGACTATTCCCAGTAGTGACAATTATGTAGCATACTACACCATCTCCTATACTCCATCTTGTCTCCAGTTATCATCAGTGAATGAGACAGTCTCTGTTGTTCCTCATCAGTCCACTACAACATACAGTTATACATTAATAGGTCTGTACAGTGGTATGAACTATACCATCACAGTGAAAGCTGGTAATGTACTAGGAGGATCTGATCCTAGTTCAGTTAAAATAGATACAATGCCAACAGGTTTGGTACAATCTTCAACTATTATGTAATATTATATTTATAGCTCCTACTGGTGTACCTACTTCTTTGTCTTTATTACAACCAATTAATAATCTCACTTGGAATGAGGTCGATTGCTCTAGGCGTAATGGACTAATCACAGGCTATACAGTGATGATCAGTAACAGTAGTATCACATACAACCTCACCAGTACTGAGAGATATATCATATTAAATGATCTAGTATTTGATACTGTGTATATCATTAGTGTAGCAGCTGTCAATTCTGCTGGAAGAGGTCCTTTCAGTGACCCTATTGCACTACTATTACACCCATCACAATCATCAGGTTTACATTCACTGTAAATGTTATGCCTATAATTTATGTGCTGTATTGTTTAAACAGTGTATCTAAGTGATATATCACAAACATATATCAGTACATCAACTAGTAACAATGGTGTCATTATTCTTGGAGTGTTAGGTGGTGTATGGTTGATTCTTCTAACTATAACTTTTATTTATTTTATATACTATTTCCTAAGGTATGTTGTAATGCACTTTTCTTAATTGAGATTGTTTTCTAATTTAGATTGCAAATTTCTTTCGCTGCCAGACAAGCAAAGTTAGCATTAATTCATTACTAATATATTACTAACAATGTATGCATACATACATTGTATGATAGAACTGATGAAGATATTGCAATGCAAGTGTGTACACCATATGATCTTCATAAGACTGAACTACCAAGTGAAGAGAATGAAGGAGCTTATGAAGAATGTGAAGCACCACCTGATGCAGTAACTGATGACTCTATTTATGACCTTTGAATATATTATCAATGTGTAATAGAAGGTGTGAACTTACTATATAGATTTAGTATTGTACAATTTTAGCTTTATATACATTTCTTAGCATTAGATTGCAATTGACCTAAGTTTTAATTAAAATAATGCGATAGATAACAAGATCTAAAAATTTGTCCTCATGATGCCAGAAACCATTCACAATATCCAGATGTAAAGGAAGTCTTACTGAACCCAATGCACATAGTTGTATGACAGTGTGCCTTTCAGCTTTTCACTCTATTCAGTCAACTGTAATGCTCACTCTGAGGCAAAGGTAATCATTTTATCTGGAATTACAATAACCAAGGGAATGAGAGTAACGGGACGTTTTTCTAATG